CCCTTCTACCTCTAATCTATCCACCAAGTTCTTCCTCCTACCATTTGCCAACTCATGAAAGAATCTAGTATTCCCATCTCCCTCCTTAATCCACTTATGCCTTGACTTCTGCCTCCATCAGATCTCTTCTCTGAGTAGAACCTCTTCTAGATCCTTTTTTAATTGCCTTCTTGATTCTTTATCCTACTCACTAAACAATCCTTGGGCTTCCCTCTCATCCATCTCTTCAATTTGTGTGAATAAATTCAGCTTTTGTTCCTCTACCCTACCAAATTGATCTTTATTCCACTCCTTCAACTTGACTCTCAATCTCTTCGGCTTTTGATGGAATTTGACTCTTTTCCACTTTATTCCCCTTAACTCCTCATTCCAGCAATCCTTCACTATGTTTCCAAATTTCAGATGAGTTAACCACATATTCTCAAATCTAAATGGTTTTGGTCCACTAATTAGGGATTCCAACCCAATCTTGATGGGGCAGTGGTCTGATGTAACCCTAGGCAAGGCTCTAGAAACCAGATTTCCCCAATAGTTTTCCCATTCTAGATTGAATAAAAACCTATCCAGCTTTGAACAGAGAGGATTATCTTGAAAATTGGACTAGGTGAATCTAGCTTGCATTAACAGAATTTCTTTTAGCTCACAATCTTCTATAAATCCGTTAAATTTCCTCATGCTTGTTTTGACAATACAAGATTACTAGATTTCTCTGAATATCTTGTGACATTAAAATCCCCTCCTAAACACCAAGGCCCATCCCATAAACCTTGAATTGCGAACAATTCCTCCCAAAATTCATTCCTTTCTCTGTAGGTATTAGAGCCATACACATTAGTAAGCACCCAACAAAATCCATCCTCCACATTCTTGAATTTAATGGAGACAGAGGATCTACCTACTAACTCCTCCACCGCTTCCACCACCTCATTCTTCCAAATGGTGACAATTCCTCCAGAAGCTCCCCAAGATGGAGCTGAGGACCAACTAACACCCCTAGTCCTCCAAAAGCTTCTCATCCACCTTCCATCTAGCTCAGAGAGCTTCGTCTCTTGCACCATAACAATATCAGGCTTCTCTCTTATTAATAAATCCTTTATTACCCTCCTTTTCCTCGCACTTCCCAATCCTCTCACATTCCAGCTGATAATTCTCATGGATAAACTTGCAAAATAGTCCCTCCTGAACTCGACTCCTTACCTAGAGTTCTTCCTCCTCTCTCCCCTTCCGCTAAACTCAAGATCAGCCTCGATGTCAAATATTAGCCTTTGCACCTCAGTTCTTTTCTTCTTCTTGTACTCCTTTTTCTTCTCTTTTCCCTCAGGTTTCCTATGGTAAGTTTTAATTATGTCATTCCCCACCCCTAGGTCAACCTCTTGATAACTTCTTCATGTTTTAGGATTCAATTTTGTCCCCTCAACATCATCTATTTCACCACTCTCTCCTTCCTCACTAGGCAAACCCTTTTGCTAATGATTCTCTTCCAAGTAACCTTCCTTCATTCTAATTGCCTCAACTTCCATACAAATCGGCTTCCAAATTCTCTCCACCTCCTCCCCCACACCCTCACAAGGAACTGACTCTTCCTTCTCCTTAAGTTCATGATTTCCACCAGCACCTTCACCACTTCCTTTAGATACCAAATCTGCTCCTTCCAGGTGGAATAATAGAGTATCTGCAACAGGCTAAACACACATATCAGTAGCAAAAACCGAATGGACACCCATACCTGATTACTGAGTAGAAGAAATAGGAGCAAACAAGGCTTGTGGCTAAGACATTACTGGTAGTGCCCCGTCCATCCCTTTAGTTGGCAATTACAGTGAAGTGGTTAAGKTTAATATTTCACCTTTGTCCATTCTTACCACCAAACAAGCATGTTCCTTCTCCTTCCTTCCTAGCCTATCTTCACAGATCATCAGAGAGTCCTGTGACTTTGTACTAATTTCGTTTATGGTCTAAGAGGTTGGAGTTGCTCCATCATGGAAAGGGGGGTTGATAAGCCTGGCTTCCGAAGCTGAACTTCCATTCCTCCTCACCTCCGCATCTTCCCCTTGAGAGCTTCCTTCTAGAAAAAGAATCTCTGTGTTAAAACTTCCTTCCTGGAGCATGTCTAGGTTTTCTTGCAAGTCAAGACTTCCCAAACTCTGTTTTAGTCGCGTCTTCAGCACCACTATCTTCTTCATCYAAGTAATCATTGTCTTCAACAAGGTCTAGATCCCGCCATTTTATGCTTTTGGGGTTCCGCCTATCCAGGGATAAATGGTTTACCTTCTTGGTCGGAATCCATTGCAGTGACGAAGTGGCCGAACCTGCAACTTGCGCGCAAATATGAGAGGAGGAGCTAAAAGGAGAAGAAAATAGATGGATTTTACCATCTATTGGAGGCTCCCCCTTCCCAAACACATGTAACTTAAGTGAGTCACGTGCCCTCTTTAGGTGAGACTTGATTTGGGCAGACTTAAGTTGAGGACACGGCCCACCCTTGGTTTCTTTAATAGGCCCAACAATTTTTTGAGGCCCACGCGTGCTTACTTGCATTGGCACGTGAGGCTTTACCACTTCACACTCAGTGCCTGGGACACCCGGCTCAGGTTCACCCTTTTTTGGCTCGAACTGGTCTGAAACCTTTAATCTTCCTTCATAACTTGAATTTAAAACCTCCTTCTTGCCGCCTTTAACCATCTAAGCATAAGATTTACTGCACTCCCTTCTGATAGCTTGCACTCCACGTAGTTGACCACCCATCTACCCCTTCTCTTTTAAAGTCTCCAGTTTTTGCTTACCCAAATCATGAAATATAGATCAACCTTTGAGATTACCAATCTCCTTGTTCCACGTAGGGCCTCTTCTTCTACCTTCTCATCCCCTTCCTTGCGAGCCTCCCTCCACATGTAGCTTCTATGGAGGAAGCCAGCCAAACTGAGTAGAAGCAACCTTCCACGTTTATCTCCACTTTTCTGGGTATGTCTTCTGGTTTCACTCCGTTCAATAGAAGAGCTGCTGATCGAAGGTCCCCCCAAAAGGCTCTGGAAAGATTACCACCACATAACAGTGCAATGGATGCAGCCACTTCCTGTTTCCACAAATGAAAGGTAAGACCAAGAACTTGTACCACCACCCCGTCCTCAGTGAAGAACTCTTTAGAGTTAGATGAAGGGTTCCACTTAGAGATTGTAATCACACCATATTCAGATAGTAAACTGATAGCTGAGAGCTCTAACTTATCTTCAGTCAGATCAAGCACCGCTTTACTGTTCTCAAAAGGTGTTAGAATAAACATCCCTTTTAACTTCAGCTGTAATACAAGCAGGTCTGCAACTCTCCTCCAATTGCTAACCGGATTTTTAACTTGAACCACATATTTATCTTCCCACTCTTCTCTCCTGGAATAGCCAACCAGC